CGTGGCCACCCCCGGACGAGGCGGCGGGGGAGCGGCGGGGGCCCCTGGTCCTGGGCGACACCGACGCCGACGCCCGTGGGCTGCGACTGCGAGTGACCTCCCTGACCCAGGGTAAGGGAGGCCCGCAGAGAGTTCTAGAACATTCTCGAAGCCCGAGATCGGGGCTGGAGCTGCGGGCCGTTGGTGGGCCCGCCCCACTACTTTGAGAACCACTCCCCTGCCTTACGTGCGAGTATGTTTTTACCCCCAGGTAAACAAATAGGGGAACAAAAAGCATTAAAATATGAACTTTAAGCTGATAGAATGCGATAAAGGGAAAACTCATTACCCACACCTGGAGGTACTGGATAAAGTAACCTTGTTTTACACGTGCCGCCAAATCCACAGGAAATGAAGGGGAACCCCAGGGTGGCCGTCTGTGCAGCCGCTGCCTTCCTGGCCCTGGGTGTGCGGCTGGGTCGTAGTGTGGCCCGTCACGCTAGTTTGTCCAGGGGTGTCTGGTTTTGACACTGAAAGCCCCTACCTTGGAAGCAAACTGGGACCGGTGGTCCAGCCTAGGCGCGACAAAGATGGTGTCGATCCCGTAATTTGAGGCTCGGAGTTACACTGCAGGAGGTGAGGTCTTGGGAGTGCCCGCTGAACATCATGCTCTGGGAAATGCCGAGAGTGGACTAAGGGAACTGTGAAAACAGGTGGATAAGCAGAGAGGAAGCTTGTTCCACCTTTGAATGAAAAAAAAAATCAGCTAGCTGACCGAATTTCAGAAACAGAGGTCTGCATTTCCTAATTGTTTGGAGTTTAATTCACAGCACTTACACATTATGGGGATCTCAAAGCCAAGAAGTGGGACCTTCCACCCCACTCCCCTTTACCCCTTCCAGGCAGGATACATCGGGCATGCACCTGGAATTTCTCTCACTCCAACGTGGAAGGGTGCTTCCAAAGCCTACGCTGAAAGAGATTCTCATGAGACAGGGGCCCTGTAGACCCGGTCCTGGTGCTGTCGGTGCTGTCGGTAGTGTGCTGGACTGCAGTGCTGGATGAAAATGAAATAAACCTTAAAAAGAAAAAGATCTGGGCCAGCCATACCTTGGTAGTTAAGGTGCTGGATCCCACATGGCCCAGTTTGACTTCAAGACCTGGTTTTACTTGAGAAACATGCTGGGCACGTGTTTGTGCATGGCCAAAATCCCGAGAGAGGAGCGAGCTAGAGACAGGGAGGACAGCAGTGTGACCACCCCCATGGGGTGGGAGGTGCTTTCTCGCCTCCTAATGCACCTCCCACTAGCATCTGAACCCACTAGCAAAATTTTGTTTGAAAGACTTTTTAAGGATAAGCTCATGATGAAAATATAAGAAAACATTATTGGGGAACCAGCAGTTAGCGTAATGGCTATGTTGCTGGAATCCCACATAGTCGACCGCAGTTCACGTCCCGGACCTGGTGGCTTAAAACTCACGCCCTGCATGTGTGCGTGCGTGCCCAAGCGGAGAATGGAGGAGAAGGGATTGCGGTGTGACCATCCCCCCTGGGGGATGATTTCTCGCTTTCTGTCTCTCTGTCTCTTTCTGTCTGTCTGGCGAGCA